TATATACACACACACACACACACACATTTATGTTATACATAAATTAGCCAGACAGGTGCTGCATGTGCAATAGGTAATTCTATACTGCTTAATGAATAACTCAGCATAACGTGTAAGTTTTTTCTTCCTAAAGCCATGTGAACATGGAAGGCGAGTCTGGTATAAATATTAAACTACCTCACAGAACACAGAACTGAAGTACCATACTGATGCACTAAAAGGTTGACTTTAAATAAAGATGACTCACAAACAGAGACATCAATATTACTATTCATTTCTTTAAAAAAAAAAATAACAGACTCATTACAATGCAAATGTACAATCTTAGACCTTTCCCTCTTGGAGAAAGTATTTCTACATGACATTTAGGTTAGCTGTGAAAAACATCTGGGGTGAAGGGCTGGTTTCACTCTCTTTGTTTATGATTGGCCTCATTTTTTAGAGAACTTGGCCTGCTTGTGTTTGGGAGGTGCCCATTTCAAACAATGCGTGTCCACTGTAGAAACACAAAATGCAAATGTTTAAACTCTTCAAAAGCGTGATAACACATACATAAGGCTAACAATAGAACAAGCGGCATTATATGCATTTTACAGATCAGTTACCTGTTATTGGTGGTTTCTTGTACTGGGCACTTTTGAGATGTTCCTCTACAAGTTTTGGTGTGACACAGATGACATGTTGACCTTTCCAGTACTTGACCATGTTCAGAGACTGTAGTGTGCTGATGATGTCACTCTGAGTAATGCTTGTCATCTGGCTGTGGGTGTAGACATTATGCATTAGTTAGATCTCTTCATCAAAGCCTTGGCAGTACACTTACAACACTGCATGTGACCTCATGTATTTGTTTACATGCTGGTTTGTTCTTGTATTTGGGACTGGATGTCTACCTGAGGTCTTTGATGGACAGGGTCCCTCTGAAGTCTCGCAGAATCTCTAGTAGTACCCAAGACCAGTAACTCCTGTAACTCAACTTCCCCAAGTCTGACAGAGGCTTCTCTGGAGACCCCACCGTACTCTCCAGCTTAGATAACTCATAACCTGAGAAGAATATGACACAAAGAACAATTATCAGTGTGTAAAAGTGCTTTTATCAGAAGTGAACAACTGCTGAGAGGTGAAACTTACTGAATGCAATTAGAAATTTTCCATATCCTCTTCGCTGGTATGGAGGAAGAGTGAGAATACAAGCGACATTGTTCCCATCTGGAGACTCCTTCTCCTGCTCATGAAGAATACATAAGATAAAGCATTGCTAACTAAGATACAAATGAACAGATTCACTTCAAAAACAAACAGAAGATACACTTTACCTTAGAGAAGTAGCCCACAATATGTGCTCCCTGTTTGTTGACTTCAGTGAGGATGTAGAAGATGAATGGCTCTACATCAAAGTAAAGTGTTTTATGATCCAGAAAAAGCTTTGCCAGGAGACACAGATTCTGACAATAGATCTACAGTGAGAAGGACAGTGAGAACAACAAACTGTAGGAAAGAATTACATAGGAGTTTGAATCTGTCATAAAATGATTTGTTTCTATGTTTCATTTTAATGGCAGGTATGATCTGACTCACCTTATGGTCCTTCCCATCAACCTCGTACACTGAGATATTGTTTCTGCGATAAATCTCTTTGCCTGGAGGCTGACGCCACTGACACTGCGACTGAAACAGGAGCCATTGAGGAACAAAGAAGGGGAAAACAAAAACAGTATAAATTAAATGAGAACATTAACCTTACTCTGGGAAGCCAGAAATGCTAGAAAACACAAAAAAACCCACAATTTAAAATCAGCTGATCGACAAAAACAACACTGATCTATGAAAAATGCTTGTAAAATAAAGTGCTACAGGAAAGAGCCCTAAAACCCAAACAAGGCAGGATTGTTGCACTTCCGGTTCCATTGTCCTGAAGTCAGTGGTTTTTTTTGAATAGGGTTTTGGTTAAATGGTCTAATACAAGCTCAAGATGTCTTGACAATCTATTCAACAACATAAAATCATTATCAATAACTATCAAAATGATCATTATCACATCAGTAATACATCATTCATGATTTTTTTAAGCTTTTACACATCTTAAAAAAGGAGGCTGCTAACAAGTGCCTAAATGGGACTACAGAGGTTGTCGGGGACATTAATCATGCTAAATAGGAAAACTCACCTACCTGCTAATCTGCTTTTACAGTCTTGTTGTGCTCATAATGACACTTTTGCAAACCATCTTAACTACAACTTTTCAACTTGTAGGTTTTAAATAAAGATTAAAAGAGTTGTCACAAACCTTTCACAGGTGAGAATGTGTTGGTTTGTGTTTTTAAATGTATTAACTCAGTATTACAAGTTTTAAAACATTGGTAACTTATAATGTTGTGTTAGCTAACGCGCTCATCTTGTTGTATGGAGTTAGTTAGGTCTACACAACACGTTGAGCTCTCTCGGCCACCATACGAGAGGGTTCGCAGACCATCGGCTCTTATGGTTAATGAATTGACCCTTCGAATATGGCGGATGGCTTACGTATAGCGGCCCATAGAAACAGTCGCTAATGAGGCATCTACGTATACTTATCTATGGTGGTGACATAGAAGTCATCCATCTGTGATGTAGTTTGTTTATAGCTTTTTCTTTTTATTTCTGGTGATTGTATTTACACGTAATTCATAAAAGTTGTGTTCATTTGTGAAGATTATCTTGATGAATGTGTCAGAAACATCAACTTTTGTTGGTCAGAGCTTATTTTCATAAAAATTTCAAAGGCCACTGGAAAAATATTATTAACTTTTTGTTGAGGGAACCAGGGTGATGCTAACTTCTAGGTTGGCCTACAAGATCACTGCAGCACTCTATTCCAATCATTAAATTAATTAGCAAAGATGTATAGCACCCCCTATGGTTTAATAACAGATTTACTGTATGAATCAACAACAAAACCATAGTGTGGACTGACCAGGTGGTATCTGAAAGTCTTCTCATACTTCATATACTTCAGGCAGTATTCACAGATCCAAAGCTTGGGCTGTTTTCCATAGTCCTCAGGGAATGGAGAGAAGTACCATGCATCAATCTCAAAGTTCCCAATCTGGATCTTGTCCACATATTTTACTTTTGTGATCTGAAAATAAAAGCAACATTTTGATTAAAAAGAGAAAACAGATGGACATAGTTTGTTATTGATACTGATGGAAACACCATAAGCCAGAGGTGTCCAAACTCGGTCCTGGAGGGCCACTGTCCTGCAGAGTTCAGCTCCAACAATCCCCAAATAATCACACCTGAACCAGCTAATCAGGGTCTTATCAGGCATACTAGAAACTTCCAGCAGGTGCGCGGAGGCAAGTTGGAGCTAAACTCTGCAGGACACCGGCCCTCCAGGACCAAGTTTGGACACCCCTGCCATAAGCACTGTGATACTGCAAAGCAGATTTTTTTTTCAGTGTGTTATGCAAATGTTGCCCCCTCTTACCGCCTCATGTTCTTTCTCCAGGGCTGCCGTAGTGGGGTCCATCTCTGCATAAGTCTGAAAGAAGAAAAGAAGCAGTCAAATAATTGCACATGTTGCTATCAAACTGATATGGCCTTCTTCAGATAAAACACTGATCAAATTCAGTACTGTGTCATTTAGATGTGCAGAAATGTGATGTCAGGTACCTTCTGCACATGGTTGATCTCGTCATGTTTACGCTTCTGGTTTCGGGTGATCTTCCTCTCTGGCTGGTCCACAAGTTCACCTCCACCACCACCACCTTCCTCCACACTCTTTCTCACTGCGTCTTTCACAGTCTTTGTCAGGGCCAAACGAGCCTTTCCAACCCACTCATCTAAACGTCTGTTAACTGCAAATGACAAAAGAGAGCTTGTGCTCAGTGAATTTGTAATACACAGACCTGTAAAGAATTTGTGTACGATCAGCCATGAATGATAACGCAGTTCCACTCACATCCAACATAGTGAACATAAAACTCTTCTCTGCCTTCCTGCTCATTCAGCCTAGACTGAATAACCTCTGCTGAATCTAAAAGAAATTAATAAAAAAGAATAAATAAAACAAATTAATAAATTATTTAAATATGCATGCACATTTTGGGTTTGCATGGGCTGTCGCTTATGCATTTGTTTTCATAACTATATTATAAATGATAATACATAAGGATTACATAATTTAACTAAAAATGGCAAATTAAATGTATCTGAAATAATATACTAATGAGGATTTTCCGTTATGAGCTTACGCCATGTTTTGTCCGCACGCTGACACAAATAAGTCTCCCCGATTTCTACTGACACCTCCTGCTCTCTGCCGCCGCCGTCGTGCGACAATCCATCCCCAGAGGGCGGAGTACACGAGCCCGCGGCTTCTCGTTCTCGATCAGCGGCCTCCGCCTCATCCTCTTCCCCGCCACTGCCATTTGATGAACAAGTTGCTCGCGTTCCCGTCTCCAAGCTCCCTCGGTCGGTCCCAGCGTCTATTTCGACGTCCATTCGCTCTTCTGAACCGCAGTTATCATATGAATTGTTCATGTTTGGGTGACGATTGTTGGACATCGACATCGCTACGCCAGACATCTTTGTCCATTTGAAAACATTGCGCACACCGCGTTGAGTCGCGCATGCGCAGTACGATTTGGCTGCTTTGTGTAGTAGTACCAGTTTTGTTTCACTTTTATATTATAAATATATCATTATTAAATGTGTAATATATACATATTTATATAATTAAACATTTATCCTATTTATTTAACTCTTTTATTTTATTTAACCTGCAACAGAAAGAACAAACTTTCTTTCGGGGTTCTGATTTATGGTTTGGTGACATTATCACAATTGCTATAGAAAAAGTAAACTTCACTGAACTTCCACAGTGGTTAGACTCCTTCCTAATTGCAATGTCTACTCCATTTTCACTAAGAACAATGACGTACCAAAAAGAGGAAGGAAAAACACGGGTCAATTTACTGCTTGTGGAGTATTTTATTATAGACACTGACATAATGATGGTACAGCTGGTGAAACTGGGAGGTACGCTCATTCCTCTGCCTGTACCTCCCCTCTCCCATTGTCAGAGCACTCCCTCTTTCCTAAATTCTTTTTCCACTCTCTGATGCAAACCCCTGCCACCACCTCTATGAGCCCCGCCCCCTCTCAGATGATGCCCAGCCCCTCCCTCTCTGGCTCTATGTCCTCCTCCATGGTGACCAGCATTTTCAGAATTATCCCAGTGACTGGGTCCCTTGAAGTTCCTCTCCTGCCAATGTCCATGATGTCGTCCGGAGCCACGACCACCACGCTTCCATCCTCTACCCACATGTTCCCTTTCTTGGTGTCCTTCCTGTAATATTGTCTGAGTCACATCTTTTGAAATACACACTTTTTGTTGGCTCACATCTTGTTTACAGTTGGATTCTGAAGTAACCTTTTCTTGAGAAACTGGTTTTTCTTCTTCATTGGTCAAAGGCTGCCTGAGCTGTGTTATTTTATCACTGAGTTCACATCCCTGTCCTTGTGCTGTACTTTCTCTCTGTGGCGTGGTGTTTGGTGGGCCTGAGTTGACATAATTAATCTTATCAGAAGAATGCACAGGCCTGCCCAATCGTTCTACCGCAGGTGTAGGCATCGTGTGACATGCTGATCCTCCTCTTCCTCTACGACCTCTCTTGAAGTCACCTTGCTGCCTTCTCTCAGAGCACGGGTGCTGTGATTGGCCTGTAATGTGATGACTTTGAGAGGCTTGGGTTGCACCGGTGGAATCTTGGGACGAGGAAAGGAGTGACTGAGAAGATTCGGCACCAGAAACATTAGCTGGAGCCTGAGGAAAAACACACATCCCACATTCATTTATTCATTTAATTCATTTAAAGGCCATGTACATACTGCAACTAAATATGATTGCCACTCTTGTTCTGGGTGAATATTTATTAAAGGTGACATATCATGAAAATCAGACTTTTCCAGGACCTATAATCAGGTCCCCGGTGCATCTACCAACCAAGGAAACGTGAAAAAAATTAACCCAGTAACTTTGTTTTGGGAAGATTTTTTCTGCAAGCGTCTGAAAAAACAAGCGCGTCTGATTTCGCTCCCCTAGTGACGTTGCAAAGGGATCTCATTATAATATTACCGCCCCATAATCTGTACGTTTTTTAACGTAAACTTGTGTGTGAATGAGAACTTAAGTTTAGTACTCACATGCTGTGACAGCCGCTTTCTGTCCATGTGCTTCGGATGTGTGCGCTCAGAAAACCATATATCAGAAATTTAAACTAATATAGTTTAAAACGCATGCTTTCAGCGCGATAAACATGATAATCAGAACCAAAACAGATGTTTTTAGCTGGTCCCAGCTGTGCAGCTCTATTCTGGAAAAGGGGGCAGGGAGCAGCAGCTCAGTTGCATTTAAAAAAGACAGGCACGAAAAACAGCCTGTTTCTTCTTCCACTCAAAATAGGCATTTTTAAAATGATAAGATATAATAAATGATCTGTGGGGTATTTTGAGCTGAAACTTCACAGACACATTCTGGGGACACCAGAGACTTATATTACATATTGTAAAAAGGGGCATAATATGTCTCCTTTAA